CGGACGCTAAGACATACGAACGTACCGCGGTAAAACCTTCGCGAATCGACAAACGTAAATTACGCTACGCAATAATTTCGACCAAGAGGACAAGCGGTTCGCCAAAGCAATGATTGGAGAAACCTCGCTCGAAACGTTCGCCACTAGAGCGTGTCTCTTCTCTTCCGGCGGTTGTGACACTGACGAAGGTTCGAAATCGGTTATCGGCCATTGTGAGGGATCCAAGTGAACCCAAGAAGGTCCATGGAACCAAAGCGGGTAGTCCATTATTTGCATCGGGGTGAGTCCCCGGGATAGACAATCGGCAGGGTTTTCCGTACCGGACACGTGATAAAAGTTCCGCGTTTCCAACTCGTCTTGGATCTTGGCCACTCGGTTCGCGACAAACGTATCCCAACGGTGGGGTGAAGAATGAACCCAGCATAAGGCGACGGTGGAGTCGGAAAAGGCAAATATCCTTTCTATGTGAACTCTATCCTTACATGCGCTGATAACTGCGGTAATAAGCTTGGTGAGTACTAATATTGCGCAAAGCTTTAAGCGCGCCAGAGAGACAACCTTACGGGGGGCGACTCTCAACTTAGAACTAATGAGGCTAATCGAATTTCTACCATTATTCTGAACGTGGAAATATACAACGCCCCCGTAAGCCTTCTCGCTGGCGTCTGCAAACCCAACGACCGTTATGACGCTATTTCTATCGACGTTTATATGACGCGGTATTTTAATTTCTCTTAGTAAAGGAAGTTCCTCTCTAAAGCGCTGCCACAATCGAACAATGCTGTCAGGCTGCGAGTCATCCCAATCGCATTCAAATAACCAAAGTTGTTTAATCAAAAGCTTAGCGTATAATATCACCGGAGCTACGAAACCCATGACGTCCCATAATCTAGCAACGCATGACAGTATTGTGCTCTTTGTGCATTTCTCTACGGGCGGATTTACCTGAAGGCTAAACACGTCGGACTCTGGTGACCAACACAGACCGAGCACCTTGTGTGTATCGGAATCGTCGAATTCCTTTATCGCCGAAAGACGGTGTGATAGTGGGATTGTATCTAAAACCGGACGCGAATTACTAGTCCACTTCACAAGATCGAATTGACCCGATTTCATGAGCCTTATAACCTCGGCGGTGGTTAGGGTGGCCTCCTCCACGCTATCGACCGAGTACACAAAATCATCCATATATAAACCGCTCTCAATTGCCCTCCTAGCTTTAGGGTAGGAGGGACCTTCATCGTGGGCGAGCTGTCTCACCGTGCGTAACGCATGAAATGGGCTCGACTTTAAACCAAAACAAACGCGGTTAAATTCAAACACCATTAGAGGTTCCTTTGGGTTGAAACGATATAAAATGCGTTGGAATCTACGGTCGCATTCACGGACCCCTATGCAAAGAAACATTTGGCGAATATCGGCGGATAGTGCTATACTAAACAAACGAAAATTGGCTATTATATTAAATAAACTGCCCTGTAAATTTTGCCCACTATAGAGGATATCGTTAAGCGACAGGTGAGTGCTAGTTTTAGCGCCAGCGTCGAGCACTACACGTAACTTAGATGTAAGTTTGTCCTCCCTAATGACCCCGTGGTGTGGTATGAAATACGACGGTGTGTCTTCGTAGTTATCTAATTTCGAAGCCACGAGTGATATGTAACCTTCTCTTATATATTCGTTAATGACGCCGTCGTAAGCTTCCTTTAACTGGGGTGAAGCGAGCATCCTACGCTCCAAGCTGTAGAAACGTTTTTCCGCCATTTGAAGCGAATCGCCGAGAGATAAAACATCTCCTTTAAAGGGTAGCGCTACACTATATCTAGCGTCGCGATCACGAACGGTCGTGTCCTACGCGGGCCCCGTCTTTGCCCACGCAAACCTCAATATTTTAAATGAACTCCAAATAGTTCAGAACCTCTTCTGTCGTCGAGCTGCGAACGCACCTTGGTACGTCCGTAATGCCGACCTTCATCGGGACTTAGAGCTCCCAACAATTCAACAATTTTTTAAAAAACTCTCTGAGAACTTCTTTAAAGCCTCAGAGTCGCACCCAAACCATTTAATTCGTGAGGCAGCTTCTTATGCAGCCCCACCCCCCTCTCGCTATCGTGTCCGCAGGCCGAGAAACTCTCTCTCGGACCCGCCTAATAAACTGTCAAACGACCTGAACTGTCTCCTGGCGGCTCAGCCCAACTCTAATTAAATTAAATTATTGTAATAACTAACATTAATTTGCCTTCGTAGGCACTCCCTCAGCGGCACTTAGCCGCCTGCGCCCTCTTTTCCCAAAAGAGGGTCGCTCATGATAAGGCAAAATACAGCTTGATCAGCCGGCTGCCTGTCCCCAAAGGCGATTTTTAGAGGGTATCACTTAGGGTCCCCGGTAGGACAGTGAGCCCCTCATAACCACGATAGACCGGCTATCGTGGTATGCGTAATGCATTTTCCGCCTCCCTACGTATAGGGTAGCCCTTTAATTGCTTCGGGCGCAAAAAAAAAAGAACGGTCGTGCGGACGTAAATTTCCTCGCATAACCTGTTATCTGAGCTAGCTATGGGTGGGACGTTCACCTCCTCCATCTCCCAAAATTTGCGGACTAACGACTCGAGCGGTTCGACAGCCATACCACAATAAGAGGTTGCCGAAATACTATCTATGATGGGGGCGGAGCCAATGATAACATAGCCCAATACGGTTTCTAGTGCGTAAGGCGCGGTATGCGAGGAGTTGCCCCTGACCTTATTGTTTAACAAAAGATGAGGGAAAAGCGATGCTCCAATGAGCATGTCTATGTTTCCAGGAACGGCGTAAGTGTCGTCTGCTAGAATCAAATTTTTAAATTCAATCATTGCCGAGGTGTCAACCGAAACGGTTGGCAACCGTTCAGTGACCCTATCTACTACTATTGCATTTATATCAAAGTTAACATTGCGATCTATCCGAGAATAAAATTTTAAATTAATATATCCCTGGGTAGCTTTACTAGTACCTCCGATGCCTTTAACTACAGGACATGAAAGTGACCTATTTATTACTATGCCTAAGCACTGACAACATTGTCGCGTTATAAAGCTATTTTGGGCTCCGCTGTCCAGCAGTGCACGGACGCCTTTTTCGTTCCCACGCGAATCCCTAACCAAAATACGCGCCGTACCCAGTAACACGGTTGAAGGAGGTTGTGCTCCCATATTTGCCAATGAGCACAGAGCGACATCACCAGGTCGACCGCTAGAATCGTTGACCTTAGTAGGGGTGAATTCCTTGTCCGCTTTACTTGACGCCGCTATGTTGCTATTTTCAAAATGTAACAATGTAATATATAAAATGTTTCAAATGTAACAATGTAAAAGAACAATTATAAAAATAATTTGTGACAAATTGACACAGCTTCGTTCAGCTAATTAGAATTGCGTAACTCGAGTTCAAAATCGAGTTACCTCAATTTCAACTCGAGTCGATTTTTTTCCGAGTTATCACGGCACATCTCTAAACAAAATTTTTTTAAATATTACATTACCATAGCCAATGATCAGAACACGAATATCAAAACAACAATTTTTTTTTCAGATTTCTTGATTCCGTTTACATTTTCGGAAAATCTATAGGCCATTTACTATTATAATTTGGTGTCTTTTTTTGGTGTAAATACCATTAAGTAACGTTAATATTTCTAGTGGGCCCAAAAATGATTATCTTTTTATGGTAAAAAATTTAAAATTGTCACTGATCACAGATCTTTGGTCTGGCTTTTTAATGTCAAGGATCCAGGAAGTAAATTAATTCGTTGGCGCCTCAAGTTAGAGCAATATGACTACGAAATTATATAAAAGCAAGGAAAGCAAATTTTAAACGCCGATGCTCTTTCTCGCATACCCATTTACGCCTTAAATTCAAATGTAGTAATAAATTAATAAACTCAAATACGAATCATATTTTAAAAAACAATTTATTCTTTTTCATTCATTTCTACAAATACTGTAATCGAAGAACATCAAGTAGCGTTACACCTCTCTAAATTAAACAACATTGTTTGCTCCGTATCCCTCGACTTGGATGAATCTATTCCATATTATAAAATTATTCTAACTTAGTTACAAAACGCTGAAAGTTTGATAAACTCAGAACGAGAACTATACACTATCTCTTATGTTAAGGAAAACAATAAAACATTTTATTTCTTATATACAAAAATTCACCATTGCGAATAGTTAACATAACGAAATATTTCCGATTTATTAATGCTAAACTACGCGACAATATTATAAAAATAGTCAAATCACTGACTTAGCTATTTACGATTTTGCTGGCCCGTTTTCTAAATTATCCTACACAAAAATCTACAATATAATTGCCTACATATTTCACAATACTGACATTAAAATTCATATATACCGAAATCAAATTAACCTTACTCCAGACGAAGTTCCACGAATTCTCAAAGAATATCACGACTCAACAATTGCTGGTCACCCCGGAATTACGAGGGTGTTAAGTCGTTTAAAAAGAATTATATTTTACGAAAAACATGCGATCCGACATAAAAAGTTTAGTTATAAATTGTAAATTATGCCAAGTAAATAAACCACTAAGAACATATAATAAGGCTCCAATGGAGACAACCTCCACAAGTATAAAACCGTTCGCAAGATTAGCTCTAGATATAGTCGGTCCACTACAAGAAGCTGGCTTGCAAAACTTCAAATTCATATTAACCCTACAAGATGACCTAATCAAATTTTTATGTGTATGTCCAATGATAACTTCCAGCAGTGACGAAGTAGCTCGTATATTAGTTCATTTTATGTCTTTATTTGGATTTCCTAATGGCGACCACATACGTAGCGGTATACCTGAACGGTATAACGGAACTGAAGGCTTGTGCAAGTATACCGGAGCATGTGTGTGACAAACCTTGCACAAGTTTCCTGACATGCACAAGTCTGGTAGGCAGATCAAAACTACGATCTGTATACCTGCGCAAACTAGTTTGTGCAAGTATGCATGAGCGTGTGTGTCGGAACGCTTCAATCGCACGCGCGCCAGTGCTTCTGTGGTCGATTTGTGTGTTTATTTTAAAATTAGAAGAGTTTATAGATTTATACAGGAAGTTACCATGTCTATGGCAAATAAAAAGTAAAGAATACCATATTCGCGACAAAAAGATCGCTGCATACCAACAATTGGTAGATGTTTTGAAAGAAATAGAGCCGGACGCGAATCGGGAATCAGTGATTAGAAAAATTAATACCTACAGGACAAATTACCGTAAAGAACAGAAAAAAGTCGAAAATTCGAAGAAATCAGGGGCAGGCATCAACTATGTATACGTGCCGAGTCTATGGTACTACGATAAATTGCATTTTATCCGCGACCAAGAGACAACAAGAACATCGCAATCGAACCTGACTAAGGAATCTACGGAGGAATCTACGGTAAGATTTTTGTTCTGGCTTCACAAAAAATTAAACAAAATAAAATTCAGTTCTAATACTATTTATTAATATTTTTAATTTATGAAATTATTTTACCAAGGAAGGAAGGCCTTCATTACTAAAGTAATCCATAAACTGTTCCCGAATATTCTTTGCACTGAGTGCAGTATTCCCATATCCCCTTCTATTTAATGGGATCATGTGGTCACCCGCATGTAACCATGGCAAGATAGTATAGCCATTTTCTGCATTTTCTTGGTCACAACATTCAGAAGGCGAGTAGTAATTACGTGAATGAGCGATTAGAAAGTTGTGCAAAGCATAACTCGCCATTACTACAGATTCAATATTATTTGGTTCTACATTAATTTGTGTGTGGAAAATTCTGAACCTAGCCGCCAATATACCGAACGCATTTTCAACTATGCGCCTCGCTCGAGATAATCTTGTGAATTCAAGTCCGCTTGTCTAAATGGCTTCATCATGTCACACCTCAAAGGAAACGCATCATCAGTTACGAAAACGTATGGCAATACTCTTAAGCTGTTGTTAATTTTTTCTTCCACCGGAATCTTTAACAGATTTTTCTCAAGTTTCTTGTAGAAAACTGTATTTTGCAGAACACCGCCATCTGATACTCTGCCATTTGTGCTAAAATCGCACATAATAAATCGATATTTGACATCCACAATTGCTGACAGAACCATACTATGCCGCCCTTTGTAATTGTAATAATAAGATCCGCTTTCACTAGGTGGAATAATATCTATATGTTTCCCGTCGATTGAGCCGATACAGTGAGGAAAATTCCATCTGTCTTCAAAGGTTTTTGCGATATCTTTCCAATCATCTTCTGTTTTCAGAAACTGAAACAAATATGAAAATAACTCTTAATAAAGGTGAAGTGAGCGAGGTCCTTGTAGGTACTTAAACTTTTTACCTATGTTTTTTTTATAAAAAATACCTATATTTAACTTATTGTTACAGATAGAAGAAACAGAGAAAGTTGAAACTGATGGAGTTCAAATCTACACTGAGTCTTCTTCTGACGCCGTTCAAAGTCCACAAGCATCGACGTCTTCTACAGTAGTCGAAAGTCTACACCCACCGACACCTTCAAGAAACCGGTCAAGGCCGACAAAACGGATTTCAAATTCTGATTCCGTAACTGAAGATGTTCTTCTGTCGGTGCGTGATCATTTCAAACGTCCGGCTGTACCCGAAGATGGTTGCGACGTTTTTAGCAAAATGGTGGCAATAAAATAGTGTGAATTGCCCAGAGAACAGAGCTTGTTTGCAGAAAAAATTATTACTGATACGTTATTTGAGGCACAATTTGGTAACTTAACGATATCAAACAAGCTCACAAGTTCAACTCTGCTAAATCAGGTACCACAACAAATCCATCAGCAGCAGATGTTATCGAAACCTCATTATTCAAATAACAGAAATATAAATTACAATTTACAATCTCAGCAGAGTCAACCGACATATTTTCATCAAATACGTTCACATGCACCAACTAGGCCAGACCCGCAAATCTCGGATGCCAGCCTTTAATTATCGGGTTCACTTTCCACCGAAAACATGTCCAAGGTTATTTATTTTCTCAGTTTAACGGTGAAAATTAAGGCCTGTACCTAATTATGACTCTGCCTCTCTATTTTTTTTAATAAAAGTAAAGTTTTGATTATAATCTTGTGGTTTTACTTACCTTCAAATAGTTTGTGCGAAGTACTTCATATGTAGTATAGCGTTACATGTCTCAGGGATAATGATGCCTAGAGTTTGAGGTGATATTATTGTAGAAAACTTAAGATCTTCGTAACTTCTACCAGTCGCCAAGAATCTAAAAGTTACTGTTAACCTCTTATGCGGTATTATCGCTGGCCGCATTATCGTGTCATTCTTTTGTATTAATGGCGTTACTAAGGACAAGAGTTCCAAATATGCGTTTTTATCCATAAGCAAATAATTGTGCCAGTCCTTCGGAGCGAATTTCAATTCATTTAAAAGGTTGGTGTGGGAATACTTATTTCTTTTCAGTAACCATTCTTTACACCATACAGAACGTTTCTTCTTACACTTCTTTTTTTTCTTAATAGCTAGCACCAAACCAACAATAGCCAAAACGTCATCATTTGTGGGTGCCGGTGGCATATTTCACAAAATACTTATTGCACAACACGGCTTCTTCGGTTTGTCACAGGCGTAGAACTGAGTCTGCACAGGCATACTTGAATCGTGTACACTCAAAGAATATCTGAAATCTTTTGTTAACGAAAACCAGAACGACTGGCATTGTTACTTAGCCACAGCAGTATTTTCTTACAACACTACCCCTCATACCACTACTACATTTAAACCCTATGAATTACTATGTGGGCATAAACCAACAATACCTAATTCTTTATATAATACAAGCAATTATACCCCTTATCATGAATACATCCGCGCATTAAAATATCGCATGAATTTTAGTCGATAAAAGCCTAGAACACATAATCAAAAGTAAAGATACGTCAAAAATATTATTACACAAATAGTAAAAATATATTCTACTATATAAGACTGAGCAGCTGCAGTCATGGAGTCAGTGTATGGTCATTTAACCACAGTGGATCTACCAATACTACGTTCGCTTACTGGTGCTATATAAGACTGAGCAGCTGCAGTCATGGAGTCAGTGTATGGTCAGTGTATGGTGTATGTTGCGACCGCAATGGATTAAAAGTTTCGATCAATGTGAGAGTTGAAATCGAAACAGACCAAGAAATACCAAATCAGACAACCGCTTATTGCTTGATTTTAAGCGATTGTATATTCGAATACAAACCACTAAGTAATATCGTTAAGAAAATATCATGAATAGCAATACAATAATCGTAGATCTTCAAGGATTCAAAAATAGCAAAAGCACTTAACTATCTCTGCAAGAGAAAAACAAACTGGCTGGATTGAAAAGCACAGAGGGTATCGATATAGTGAGGGTTACATTGATATAGAGTTTCACAGAATTATCAAGACATATTTGAAAGATAAAAAGATTTTATAAAAGGATGTGAAAAAAATAAATGGTTACAAGATATTTGTGATGAAAATTATACTATAATATATATATATATATATATATATATATATATATATATATATATATATATATAGTTGCTTAGCAGCTCCCAATTTAAATACTCTTTGTGAACTTTATTGTAAAGATACTTTACTGTATAACTATTTTACTTATAAGAAAATCTGTGCGTTAAAAAATGTTTTATGTATTAAGAAATAGTGTTTTGAAAACGAAGTGATTGTTTGATTTTCAACAAAATATATGTGGCGCAATAAAACGTGCATATTGCATCATCTTTTTTTGCGGGGTAGAAACCGCCTGGGCGGGGGAGTATACTACCGTTGGGCAGACGCACTCAAGGAGTTTTAGTCACAATGAGGCATTTTGCGTGCATGCATTTTAAGAGAACTGTCGTTCATACATTGTTACTAGGCGACTACATTGTTCTGCATATGAACTACGGCGAATTAGTGAAGCTCCGAGTACTAATTTAATTAAAATATGAGTAAAGCGTTTTAGAGAGACTAGTTCAACGTTTAAACCACAAGCAAAAGGTCGTCCTAGAACATCTAGGACCGAAGACAATATTGAGAGAGTTATGCAATCTGTAGGAGAAGATCCATGATTGTCTACTCGCAAGAGATCGTCTGTCTTAGGCTAAGAACTCACGGAGCGATTTTCACCCGCGTCCGCCGCGGTTGCGGGCCAGCAGCTTCTGTAGAATGCAGATATACATGTAAAAAATTAAAGCACATTTCACGACGCGTTTTACGCCTGCAGTCTGCGCGTTTGTTTGCGGGTCCCGCTGCACCGGCGGGCAACTAGTAGAATCGCGCGGGCCGCGGTCACCCGCAGCCTCGGCGGGTTGCGCCCGCGCGCTCTGCGGTCGATTGGCGGGCAATCGCAGCGGCGCAGAGGCGGCGGGCGGCGGGGCGGGGTACAGAAATCCAACGCCATTTTGCACCAGTGACCTGCGGCATCGGACGTGTGCACGTTCGACAAACATAAACGGACGCGGGTGAAAATCGCTCCGTGAGTTCTTAGCCAAAATGGATATTGAAGTCGATATGCTTATTACTTTGGTGCAAGAAAGGCCAGTTCTATGAGATAAGAGCTTAGAAGAATATAAGTACAAAAATTTAACGCTCAATGCATGGGAAGAAATATGTGGTATTTTAAATAACGATTTTGAAAATTTGGACGAGACTAATAAAAAAGTATATGGTAAGTATTATATTAAAAGTTTATTTTATAATTTATACTAGTAATTTATTTCGTTAAATTTTTGACAATTGCCAACTTAAGGCTCCACTGTCACTCATAAAATATTATTGAAAAACATTTCTTATGTTATTGGCTTGTCTTCCGCTGCGAATTGATTGAGCTGTTTGTATACTCTCAAGATTGTGAGTAAAATCTTCTTCTCCTAAGTGATGGCCGTCTCTTTTTCGTACAAAATTGTGAAGTATGCAACATGCCTTCACAATATCAATTGATAAAGTTATTGATACATCTAAAGCACGATTTAATATACGCCATTTGTTTGTTAAAATGCCAAATGCACATTCTACGTATCTCCGTGCTCTAGATAAGCGATAATTAAATACCCTTTTTTGTACACTCAAAAACTGACCGCCATAAGGCCTCATTATATTTTGATCCAATCCAAATGCCTCATCGGCTACGAATATATATGGCACAGGTGGCAAGGTAGATCCGGGTAGTATTTGTTCATTGGGTAGTTTGATACAATTGTTAATAATCGCATTCCAAAAAGTAGTATTTTTAAAAATAGTTGAATCAGCATTACTTCCCGGGGCCCCGATGTCTACAAAAACAAAGCAGTAATCCGCATCAACTACAGCCATTAACACAAATGAAAAAAAATCCTTGTAATTGTAGTAAGTTGAAGCACTGTTATCTGGTTTAATTATTCTTATGTGTTTCCCGTCTATTGCTCCAACGCAATGAGGGAAGTTTGCGTATTTGTAAAATTTTTGGCTGACTTCTTTTAAAACTTCTGTTGTGATTACCGGAAAACATTCATGCAATAACACCTCCCATAATTTTTCACATGTTATTCTTATAATTGTCGATATAGTTGTGTGCCCAATTCTGAATGTGTAATGCAAATCTTTCATTGAAGTTCCACTAGCTAGGTATCTGAAATAAATAAATATGCTTTTCAGGAAACGTGGTAATTAAAAAAATGGAAAAATATTAAAGATTGCTGGATGAAGAACAACAAAAAAGTTGAAACAGAAACAAAATCTGGATCGGGAGCTAAAAAAACCAAACGATACATTTATAATGATCAGTTGTAGTTTTTGAAAAAAAAATATGCCTATTGAATACCTCCTCAACCTTAATAATAAACATTGCTACAACTCAACAAACTACCAGTACTACTATCGTTGCATCAACGTCGATGCTTTTGCTACACCAGTCTCTTCTCAAACAACTGCTAAAAAGAAAAAAAAGGACGACACCGACAAAGCATTAATAGAGTTGTTGTCTCAGCGTGAAGATAGACATTTGTCATTTTTTCGTGGAATTTTACCTTCATTGCAAAATTTTGATGAAGCAAAAACAAGAAAATTTCAAATAGCAGTTCTACAAATTATTGATAATCTTGATAATAATCTTCCAGCATTTTCATCTCATCAGTATACAGCATATAATTACAGTCAAGAAAATAACAGTAATAACTATTGCGGCTATCGTACCTCTTCTTACCAATCTACTCCTGAAAGCAATACCCAAAGTCCACAAAATCTTTCATCAGTCTCTTCAATTAATAGTAATTTATCCAATTTGTCAGATGATGTGTATTTTGAATAAATAAATATAATACGTATTATTACTTGTTTTATTAAAATAAGCATACATACCTTAATGTGACTGCCAACATTTCCTCCGGTGATATAGGATCTCGCATATTAGTATGTTGTTTTTGAAGAACAGTTTCCATTTTTTTTTTTTCAAAAGTTCTAAATAACTAGAGACGGACATTCGAAAATAATTGAAGAAATTTTCTTCGTCCTTCTTTAATTCACTAATAAGGGTAACAAATAATCCATAACGATCTCTATCCTGAATCAGTGGATGCACCCAGAACCTTTTGGGTCTTTTTTTTTAATTCTTCTGTGAAGTAAGTATTAACGCAACAGCTCGTTTCTGATGTGTGTCCATGGCGGTCTGGACTTCAACTGATCGGTTAACTGCCCGTCTTCCGTCTTGCGATCATCGCCCGCCACGTTTGCGGGCGATAATCTCAACCGCGACGGCTGTGTAACCGCGCAAATAACCGGTCTCGTGAGTTTGGAAATAAAACCGCAGTTCCGCCACCGCGGCGGGCACGGTTCAAAATCGCTCCGTGAGTTCTTAGCCTTACACTTATCGCGACGAAGTTTGCAACGAATTTTAAACTTGGATCTCAAACTGCATCCATACAAGCTGCAATTAACACAAGAATTGAAAGAATGTGATTTCAGAGAAAGGCTCGCATTTGCTAATGACATGCTTAATCGCTTTTCCCATTTTGACAATATCCTTTTCTCTGATGAGGCCCATTTCCGTATCAATGGATTCGTGAACCGTCAAAATTGTCGTTACTGAAACAGTGAGAATCATAAACTCAAACACCAGAAACCACTGCATAGTCCTAAAGTGACAGTATGGGCAGCAATCTCGGGCAGAGGAATAATTGGTCCTTTTTTCTTTGAAAATGTGCGGGGGCAAAACGTCACTGTTAATACCGAACGATATGTTGCGATGTTGGAAGGTTTTTTGGCTCCAGAACTTGAAACTTCAAGAACAGTGAATAGGCTTGGTTTGGACTTGGACTAGGACTTGGACTTGAACTTGGACTTGGACTAGGACTTGGTTTCAACAAGACGGAGCTACCAGTCACACGTCAAATGACTCCATGGTGGTTTTGAAACAAATGTTTCTAGGGTCTGCCTGTCCGATTTCGAAAAAAGGTGATATCCCATAGCCCTTTCGTAGTCCAGATTTGACACCTCCTGACTTTTTTTTTTGTGGGGATACCAATCAAACAAACCCAAAGTCTACAGTAATAATCCGAGAAACATCGATCAGCTCAAGCAGAATATCCGTGGTGAAATGTCAGCAATTTCATCAGCTTTTTACTGAAGAAAGTTTTTAATAATTTCCGTTCGCGGTTAGAGGAGTGCCGTCGTAGAAAGGGTCATCATTTAGATGATGTTATTTTTAAAAAAAAATTTCAGTTTTTACTTTACAATTCCTTAGTTTCATTTAACCCTACCTTTTATATTTATTTTATAGTCTATTTTTAAATATGCACGTTCCATTGCGCCACCCATTATATAAAATATATGTAAATATGATAAAATATATGAAAATATACACTTTCATATATTTTATAATATTATAATATATAGTTTCATAATTATACAAATATAATATCATAGGAGTGTAAGGGGCTGGAAACAACACCTTTACCGGCCCAAACGCCAACCCCACCTGCACGTGGTACACTCTGCTGACCTACGGACGGGGCTCTGGCGACCGACGTCTGGCGGGATAACCAGACAACGCTTCATACAGGCAGAAATACCCTGTATACTGGATACAACACCTCCATAACGGGTTTCCCTACCTTGAGCGGGTAGGTGTTTTTGCGTCAGATGGCAATCGGCAATAGACTAATAAACCCCAAAAGCCAAATCTTTAGAAAAGAAACATGGAAAGGTTACGTAATGCATTGAGTCTCACGGATAGGGCGTCGCCGCGAAACGACGCGCAGACACATCGCCCTAAATCTGCGAATAGTATGCTAGGGCTACCGAGTCAAGGACGGGCTCGGCTAACGACGTTAGTCCCAAATCGTAACCTAAAAGTCCGCTTCGCTACCTTAAATGTAGGAACATTAACGGGGAAGACTAAGGAACTTGCCTCTCTTTTCAAGCGCAGAAGGGTAGATTTTATATGTCTACAAGAGCCTCGATGGACTGGATCCAAAGCCCATAATATCGGAGAGGGCTACAAACTTATGTACGTAGGTGCAAAGCATGGTAGGAATGGCGTAGCAATTGCTGTCAAAGAAGATCATCTTGAAAACATCCTGGAGGTCAACCGTATTAACGACAGACTCATGTCAATAAAGGTACTGGTGGAAGGTGAGGTACTAATAGCTGCATATGCTCCCCAAGTGGGTTGTAGCCAAGCAGAGAAAGACAATTTTTGGACTTCCCTAGAATACATTCTTCAATTAATATCTCCTAAAGAAACTACTTTACTGGGAGGTGATTTAAACGGCCACATCGGAGAAGCAAACAGCGCTTTCAAAAGGGTGCACGGAGGTTACGCATACGGAACACTAAACGATGTGGTAAAGTGGAGAGGATTGCTATGTTTTTTAAGAACATCTTATTCTTTTTTTTATTAGGTATTCCGGGAGAATGCGTCGCCCCCCAACACCGTATTGTTGTAATGGACGTGCTATTCAAACGACATCCCAAGGAAAAACCAACTCAAATTCCTGAACTCACCAAATGGTGGAACCTAAAAGGTGAGAAAATTCCCGAGTTCTGTGAATGTCTTGCTGATTTAAAGGTTGATGTTAAATCAGATATTGACACCATATGGGAACATTTACGTGTTTATAACTACTGAAAACATTCTTGGCCGTACAAAAAGCGGTAAAAAATCCGACAGAGAGACGTGGTGGTGGACAAAGAAGGGGCAAGATGCAATACGGAAAAAGAAAGATGCTTTTAAGACCTGGCAGTCCAGCCAGTTTCCAGCACCCATGGTCACGGGGGACTGAGATGACTGACGTCCCGATGTCATTGTTAAACCTGGAGTACCTTCAGCTTTTTTAATTATTGTTTATGGTCCAATCTATGCAAAATTAACTGACTATGTCCTGAGGTCTTGCAGTGGCACGCTTGGGTTTAGTTTTAATTTTATTAATTATAAGATCCCAAGCAGGTGGTAGTACCCAGCCTCCTTCTCTATAGAAATTAAAAAACAGCATAATTTCAATAGCCTACGTATCTCTGGTAGGAAGGGATTTGTGGTCTATCAAATCTGATGTAATGGTTGGGGCCGTCTAGGATATGATCGCAAACTGCAGACTTCCCGGAACGTTGATGCTTCACATCAGCTATATGTTCTTTTACGCGGGTTCTAATTTATCTTTTTGTTTGTCCTATATAAGAGAGACCACAGTTTCACAATCAAGCTTGTACACTCCTGCATCTTGTAAAGAAATATGACACTTGAAATTGCGCTGATGGTAGGAACTGACTAATCTTCTTCGGCGGCTTGTAGAATGTTCCAATAGAAGCTCGCTTCAAGATGTAGCCAATCTGGTCTGTGACACCTCTCACATATGGTAGTACAGCAGGCACACGTTCGACTGTGGCCGGCTTCACTCGGTCACTGTGACGTAGGCGCGGGAGCCGAAGCTTGTTGTCGTGCAGAACTTGCTTGACGTGCTGAAGCTCGGCGGCCAGGTGTTTGCTGTCACAGATCCCTCGTGCTCTCTGTAACAAAGATTTGCCCACGGTAGCTAACTGTGAAGGATGGTGGTGAGATTCACCGTTTAATTATCGGTTTGTATGGGTCTTTTTGCTATACACAGTGTGACCAATGGTGTTGTTAGGATTTCGGACGACTAACACATCTAGGAAAGGTAAGGAATTATTTGCCTCTAACTCCGTAGTAAATTGAATTTTAGAGTTTATGGAATTAAGATGTTCTAAAAATGCAGTTACTTTGTCTGATGGTAAAATTGTGAAAGTATCGTCTACGTACCGCTTGTAGATCCTTGGTGTAACAGGTGCAGTAAGGAGGGCGTTCTCCTCAAAGTCTTCCATGAATATATCGTCGACAATGGGAGATACAGGTGAGCCCATCGCAACACCATCTACTTGCTTGTAAAACTCTTCCTTCCACAATAGATAGCCAGATGTAAGGCAATGCCTGAGTAATACTGCATATTCTGCTGGCATATTATTTTCCTCTAGTTTCCTAGTTATAATTGAGATGCAGTCTTCAACAGGTAGGCATGTAAATAGAGACTGAACATCAAAACTGACCATGGTTTCATTGTCAGTAAGACATAGGTCTTTTATCTCACTGACAAAATGGTATGAATCCTTAGTGTGTGCTTTTGTGTGTCCTCTGAGTAGTGATAATATTTTAGCTAAGTATTGAGCCAATCTGTAAGTTGGCGAATCAATCTGACTCAGTATTGGACGTAATGGAGCGTTTGGTTTGTGTATTTTCGGTAATCCATACAACTTTGGTGGTTTGGCACATGAAGGTATTATCGAATTAACGTCCAGGTTCAATTTCTCGGAGTGTTTCTTAATTAGATCACTAGTTGTTTTAAGCGTATTAGTTGTAGGGTCTGTTTTGACCTTTCGGTATGTAGTTTCATCCGACAAAAGTTGTTGTATTTTAAAATTGTAATCTGACGTATCCATTATAACCGTAGCATTGCACACACAATACAAAGTGTAACTAAAAACCGTTTTAATGGTCTTACATGCAAATGTCATACACACTCGCCGCCCCCACACCCTACAGCGCCCTCCGCCCCGCCCGGGCGCTTCTTCCGCCGCCGTTTCTTCTCACTGCGTTTATTACAGTTTCGGCTTCCGGCTCGTCTTTCACACACACACCCCCAGGGGGGGGGTGGGGGGGGCTCCCACACACCCCCTCTCCCCTTTCATATAACATAATATCCCGCCGGGGGGGGTCGCGCCCCTCCCCTTTTTCTTATACTTATTACACGTAACTTATCCTACACTTTTGTAAATAAACACGTAACAAAATTACTCAAAAATATTTTTCTATTTCTCTACTACATAATATATCAACAACATGCCATACCATTAAACGCTGCATATGTTAACACAAATATTATAAAACACTCCCTTGAATTGAATTTTCTTAAGCCTTGTTGCTCTATAAACCTATATCACAGACCTAAATGTAATTCCCATATTATTTTTCTATTCGTTCTTGTTGAGAATCTGTGTTTGAATTTCTTACCGCGAAATCGTATTCTACTGAACAGCTTTCGTATAACGTTTCGCAAGCATTAGTATGGAGTGCTATTTCAATAGTTTAGATAACGAATTGTATCAATCAAATCCCTGTATCGTCGATGACTTTAGTACCTACATACGCACCATGTTCTAAAACTGTATTGTACCTTTTGACACAAAATATTGGCAGCATTAACCACAACTTTTTCTTGAGGTGTTGTTGAGGCGTCTGAAACCTAATTTTGATATTTAAATACTTACTGAATGTTGGCTCTCATGTAACCCAATTATACCTGTTATGAACGACTACACATTTTTTATACCCTAAGTAATTTTAACAAAAACGACAGAGTGAAACTTGACATTGACATATATATCTCATCAGTGGGTTACCCAATTGCAGAAAGTATCCTCATTTTGTAATATTATTTTTGTTGGTGACATTAATTTACCAATCAATTTCAGCAAGCTAGACAGTAATTCGGAGAACTACCTTAAGCTCATGACTTTTCATGGACTCTTACCAACCCATATTTTTGTGACTAGAAATCAAAGCCTGTTTACGCCTGTTTTCTGGACCTCTCCAAAGCCGATCTCGTTTTATAAGATGTGCTTTGGAGGAAGATGGAGGACAGGTGTACTCCAGCGGAAATGATTAATATCTTTCAGTATTGGTATGCAAACCAGACCAATTATGTTAAATGGTCAAACAGTCTCTCCGAGTCATACAGGTTGGAGTGCGGTGTGAGGCAGGGAGGGTTATCGGCTCCGAAGCTCTTCAACCTGTATGTTAACGATCTCTTGGTGGAGCTCAGTAGCATGCGTATTGGATGTCGTGTGGGTGGTGTTAGTATCAATAGCATCAGCTATGCGAATGACATGGTGTTGCTGAGTCCCACTGCGAATGCGATCGGAGAAATGTTGAAGGTCTGCGACACTTACGTTGCCTCGCATGGTCTTGTATACAACATAAATAAAAGTGAATACATGGTCTTTAAGGTGGCCGGCAAGTGTTCCGAATCTATCCCTGCCGGGCTAGCATGAGCAGGGGATAAAAACTTTATCCACCGATTATATCCACTGACAAGGGATAAAATTGTCTTATCCCTATGTCAAAGCTTTATCCACCCTGCGAGCATGAGCCTATGGTGGATATAATATCGACAGTAGATAAACTTATCCCCGCGCATAGATAATATACCATAGTATAAAGCTATAAACTATACTAGCTATAAACTAGTTTTAAGATTAAGTAAATTTATATTAACTTATATTTTCTTTTACCTTTTGTTTATTATATTGCTAAACTGTTCATAATTTTTGTTAAACAATATGTCATTTATAATATTTGTTATATTTATTTTAAGCGTATTTCTGCCTTGTTTTTATTTTTTCTATTATTCTAATTCTTTCTTTATTTTCTTTCTTTATTTTATTTAAGTTAAATATACATTGCTTGTATCAAATCGCAGATATTACTTCGCTTGTGATAGCATTTATTAAAAAATATGTGTTTAGAATTAAGCCAATTGTGAAACCGGATAATACAGACCCTTTGGAGGTGGTGTAACCTCTTGAAGAAATTAAAAAAAATATATCCCCGCAATTACTGCCATTATAAGAAAATTACAAAATACATCAAAATTGATGTCTACTCTAAGTCACAAAGATTTAATTTTAATTGAAAATGATGAAGCATGAAGAATAAAAATGTAATGATTTCAAACAAAACAAGGAATAAATAATTTTATAATCATGAGTATAGTATATTTAGCAAGCTTTGCTAAAGAATTAACGTATTTCTTAATTTAAACCTTTGAATTGTAACTTTACTTAGTTTGATAACTTTATTTTAAAACGTTATAATACTTATCTAAAATATAGTATAGACCGATTCTATTATCATTAAATTTGACTTGACCATGGACTCGCCTTGGGTATTATTGACACAACCTATGTAATTAAATCATGGCATTGAGCTATTACCGGTAGTACCGGTAGGTGTAGTGTAGGGCGACCCCCACTAGATGGAGTGACGACCTGGTAAGACATGCAGGAAGTCGATGGATGCAGGTGGCTCAGGACCGTGCTTTGTGGCATTACTTGGGGGAGGCCTATGTTCAGCAGTGGACTTGTGAAGGGCTGTAGTGATGATGATGATGATGATGATTGAGCTATTGAGACTTTTTTGGACAAGGTGGTTGTAATAGATGCTTACTTCAATATGCACTGGTAGTCCATCCACAGAATTAATAGGCTTTAAAGCCTCATAGAGTTCTTTACACAAATACAAAACAATTTTTTAAGCATCCGAAACCGGCGTAGAAATTCGTTGTCGGAGAATTCCAATAGATTAAGTGTTCTGATCACGTATCGATCGCTGATGTAATTCTCTTTCTTGTTTTTCAATTTCTGACACGAAAATGTAGTTGCAATAGGCTCGAGACATCTTTTTTTGTATTAAAATGGTATGAAGATAAACTTAAACCCACATCCGCGAAAGAGGATAAAATTGTCCCTTTCAAATGTCAAAAAGGGATAATTTTTTCTCTTTCCCTTGGCCCCATGCTACGGACGGGGAGACATATGTCCACTCGTTATGTCAAACGGGGATATACTATAGAGATAAGATAATTTTACCTCTTGTCAGTGGATATAATCGGGGGATATAATTTTTGTCTCTTGCCCATGCTCGCAGTGTGGATAAAACTAAGCAAGGGATAAAAATTATATCCTCTCTCCGGGGATATATTCTCTCCGGCTCATGCTAGCCCGGCTGCAATAAGATTAAATGGATCGGAAATAAAGCGGGTTTATCAATTTCAATACCGAGGGCATATTCCTGCCGATGACCTTAAAGATTATTTAGATATAGAGAGGGAGCGTAGGGCTTTGGCGATATGCGGCAATATGCTGGCCCGTAGATTTAGATCCGCTGTTCAGATCAGGTTAAAATTAAAATAACCTTATTCAAAGCGTATTGCCAGGGTCTGTACACGGGTCTTCTGTGGATTGGGTATGCCAAAAAATCGTTTAACACCCTGCGCGTCCAGTACAATAACGTTTTCAGGATGATGTTGGCACTTCCCCGCTTTTGTAGTGCTTCTGGGATGTTTGCACAGACCCGAACTAACGGTTTTCATGCCGTAGTTCGGAAAAAAGTAGCGTCGCTGATGAGAAGGATACGGAGAAGTGAAAACAGCATCCTGAGAACAGTGGCAGATGATCCGCATGCGCCTATTGTAAGGCACTTTCTGCGAACGATGACTTATACAGTGGAGTGGAGCGAGTCTTCTGGGTGTCGACCGCACGAAGTGCCTCTTAGGTACATGACAAATTAAAATTTAATTTGGATATATTTTTTCTGATTTGGTCTGATTTAATCTTGATTTTATTTGATTAAGTTGCATTTAATTTAAGTCTATATAGATATAATTTAATTTAATTTTAATTCTAAATATAATATAATATAATTTAACTTAAATTGTTTTTCAAAATACACTTAGTTTTTAAGCATTAATATAATGCTAACCCATGGACCGTTGTCTGAAATGAATTTGAATTTGAAAAGCGAAAACTGTATCGATAGGTACCTTAATGAAATCAAAAATGCCTTGTTTGACACTTGTTCCTCAATCAACTGTTTGTTTTTGTGTCGTCGATCAAATAGTAATGATACGGTGCGTACTGCTATAAAACTTAATACGAAGGTGACCTCGCAGTAGGATCCTCTTTCACCACGATAACGCCTCGTTGCACACCGCCAAGCAAACAATCGACTAGTTCGCGACATCAGACGTGGAATTTCTGGGTCACTAGCCCTATCGACCTAGGACTTTGCGAATTTTATTTATTTCCGAAAATAAAAGAAAAACTTCGAGGAAATCGTTTTATGGACGCCGAGAAAGCAGTGGCTGCGTTTCAAAATGCCGTCGAAGAGACCCCTAAGAACGAGTGGGCAAAGTGCTTTTCTCAGTGGTTTTTTCGGATTCAGCAATGTATTGATGTAAATGGACACTATTTTGAAAAGATATAACAAAACTAATAAATAACTTGCTAGTTTGTTCAGTTTTTGATTTTCTAAGAACTTTCAGTGTCAATCTCGTAAAGATAGGCTGAATTTTGATGTCAATAATATAGATTTTAAACCAGTGTACAACTAATCTGATCCTAAGTTTCAAATGAACTATTTTATAAACCAATTTAAATTAGCTGTAGACAGAAATTTAGTAATTTTTTCTGGTTGCGCGGAAAAAAGTATCGGGTACTCTCATATATTTTGTTGGTTATATATTGTTCGCCAGTGTCTCCCCTTCCTGTATCTACATATTCCTTCCAATGAGGAACGCGCCCCGCCGAGATGGAAGTGGTGGAAGTGGCCTGCTAATATGACGCCTGTAGCACACCTCCGCTGCGAAACTCAAAGGGCGAAACCGCAATAGTTTCGCTGTGAGTTCTTTGGCGGCGAAACAATAACGAAATTCCCTGCTCTAACGTACAAAACTGACTATGATGTTGTCTCTTTCTAACATGATTTCGCTCATTTGTTTAGACGCCGTCTACATCTCTGCCCGTTGTCCGCCATTTTGGAGCGGTTCCGCGTGTAACTCGGACTCGTCTGTAGCAATCGACAATTTTTATGAGCGAAATAGGAACAATGGATTTGGAATTTACTGAAAAACTTATACAAGCAGTGAGAAATAGACCTGTTTTGTACTTACTAAATCACCCTGACTACAAAAACAACACAAAAAAACTACAAGCGTGGAGGGATATCCAGAGAGAGTTAAACGAAGAAGGTAAGTATAATTATTTATTATTTACAAGGTATACGTATCAATTATCTGTTCTGCGTTGTGCAAAGTATCGAACAAATTTGTCTCTGCCGCTGTCACATGCCGCAAATGATGATTGTGCGCGGTTTCCATTGAGTCTGTTTTGTGGAAGAAAGGCTCCAAACTGTTCTGTTTCCAAACCAGAGCTTACACGTTCGGTTGACTCTTTTGTCTGTATAAAATTGTGTAAACAACAAGCTGCTTTCACAATTTTTATGGTATTTCTCAAATCTGTTTCAAAGGGTCTTAAGAATATCCTAAATTTTTGTGCCATTATTCCATATGCATTTTCCACAACTACCCGTGCTGTACTAAGCGACTGATTAAATATCTTTATATCTCTATCTTGCAAAGCTGCATCTCTTACAAAAGGTCTCATCAAAAAAGTTTCAAGTTTAAATCCACCATCGCCTAAAAAAATATAAGGCAAAGAATCTGTTTCTCCTTGTAATGGTTGTGGATTTGGTATATTAAGTTGGCCGCTCCTTAATAATCGAGCAAAAGATGTTGCTTCAAATATAGTACTATCGGCATCTTTCCCATATGATCCAACATCTACAAAAATAAATTTATAATTGGCATCTACCACATCCATTAAAACAATTGAATATTTACTTTTATAACAATAAAACATTGACCCGCTACACGGAGGGCACTTTATGGTTGTGTTTTCCATCTATGCTACCAAGGCAATGAGGAAATCCCCATTTTTGAAAAAACTCTTCTGCCATATTCAGCCAATTTTCCTCTGTGGGTATTGGAAGGACAAGTGGTCGTAATGTATTCTACAATTCTTCACAAACTTCAGTCACTATTTTCGAAACTGTTGAATTACCTATACGATAAGAAAAAGATAGTGTCTTGTAGGTGTCTCCAGTTGCCAGAAACTTGTAACAAAAAAAATTAAGTTGGAAGAAAACTTTTTGTTTGTTTTATTTTTTGTAGCTGAATATATCTATTTTTATACCACATAGGTGGCAAACAAGCACCAGTGGTTTGTATGCTTGCTCCACCAGTGGTGGCGGAAGCATACAAAGTAATGCCGCAAAAAAGTAACGCCTGAATCAATTAATTATCTTCTTTGTTTCAGTTCCAACTTTAAAAGCAAAATGGAAAAATTTAAAAGATACTTTCAGAAAATCCAAGCAATCAAAACACAGCTCTAGTGGCCAAGCAACAAAAAAACTACAGAATTGGGCCTGGGCTGAAGAAATATCACTTCTTGAATCATGTACTACCCCCAATCAAACGGAGAGCAGCATTATTCTGGAGAATGAATCTTCTCAACACGAAGAAACAAGCCGTACAAATTCTTCGGTGGCAAATGAAGAGTCAGCCAATCAACCTACACCCTCTACTTCTTACGACGCGACAACCGTACCAGAAAATACACAACAATCCGGCTCATCACATCAAATATACAGGCGACAGCGAAGAATAAACATGAATCCTACAGACAGAATGGTTGAGTACTTAGAAAATAGAAGGAAACAAAACTCTAATTATGAGAAAGTTACGGTTAAAAGTGACGGTACTGATTTGTTATTTTTGGGTTATGCAGACTCTTTTAAAAAACTAAGCAAACGGACTCAAGTAAACGATAAATTTGATATCGCAAAAATATTGATGGAAGCTGAGCTTAATGATCTTGAGACTGCTGAAAGAAACACATCTTCACGTACTTCAAACTACTCAAATGATATGATCATTCATGCTCCTGCTACTCCGGGGACCCACTGGGGAGGCAACACATCTTCACATACAACAACATACTCAAGCATGCATACTCCTATTACTCAAAATGACAGTGAGGCAGCACATCAAGATTCTTACGACAGTAATGCAACAAACATACATGCTCTTGTTACTCCGGGAAACTACTCCTTGATAAGTAATGACAGTAACACCGCAATTTAATTTGAGTACATCTACATATTTTTCTCAATTTTCATCATTATAAATGTTTTTAAATTTTAATTTTGTAACTTTAATTTAATTATAGGTACTTACTTCAAAGTTAATCCCAGTTTTTCTTTGCTAGAAATAGCATCTCTAAACCTTGTATCTTGTTTAGTAATACAAGGCTTTATAAGGTTATGTAACTCTTCAAAACTGTCTGGTGTCATTCTGAAGTAAGAATAAAAACGGTCTTCATGTGACTGTAACTCTTTACATAATATATTTTCTCCCAACTTCTTTCTTTTTTTATTGATATCATGCATCCAGGTACGACGCCTTTTTAAAGTAGTTGACCAAAGTAAGATTAGTTCCTCCTCTGACTCCGAAAGCGACGACATTTTCTTTCGATTATTATTTCTCAACTGTTCTAGTTTCAGGTTTCGCTAATATAGTTTCGCGTAAGTGAAGTACTCTTGCACAGCGAAACTTACGCAGCGGTTTCGCAGTTGTTGTTTCGCAGCGGAGGTGTGATATAGGCATAAGGACACGCACGGCCGTCGCTCGCAGTTATCCTTCTTCTCTCGCATCTTAGTTCACACCGCTAGTTATTATTGCACCTCTGTGGCAGTCGGACACAGAACCGCTAGAAGTAACCGCCTCGCATAGTACGAGTTGTCGTCGCGCACCGCCTCTCTTCCAACACACCACCAGACCAGGAGCGTCAACCGCGGCACCGGAAGGAACTCCACCCCGGTAAGTGCGTTTTTCCGTTTCTCCTTCCCTTTTTTGTTATTTTGCTTGAGCCTTTTTATGTCGTTTTTCCCCGTCATATTTTCTCTCTTACCGGCTCAAGTGAACCTCCACCTTAACACTGGTGAAGTGGTAGATTAGGAGGAGCGAGTGCATCGTCCAAGGCTGTCGCGTGCCACGTCAGCCATCTTGTTTTGGGGTATCAGGAAACCGCACATACAGCACCTAGTAACATCTCGCATAATAGGGTCAAGGCCCGACCTGGTAATCGGACTCAAGAACCCCCGTCTGAAGATTTCCCCGTCTGGGATTCGGACTCAAGAAGCCCGTCGCTCAACCAGTTTCAGTCTCAAGAAGTAAGACAATTATTTATTAAGCCGTGGATTACAGCTGGGGTTTTAAGTTGTATACGATTAAGGTATAAATTACATACTAAAGCTATTCGACAACCTACAAATGACATACTTAAAAGACCATATATTCGTTACAGAAATTTCTGCAATAATTTACTCAAAAAATTGAAAAGAGAATTTAATAAAGTTCAAATCAAGCCGGGAGATAATTAAAAATATAGGAATCGATTCAGGACATAACATGTATATACAAACAAAAATAAAAACGCTTCCAAAGAACTCTCAACAATCTCATCTACTGCAGAGCTATCAGCTAATAAAGTAAATAATTATTTTGTTGACATTGGCAAGGAACTTGTTAATCATTTCCAAAATCCTAATCACAACTTTATCAATAACAGGCTTAGCATTTTGTGTACAAGCTCTTTTGTTTTGTTTCAAACTGATGAAGCAAAAGTTGAAAGTTTGACTTTGAAATTAAAAAATGAGTGTTCTAATATTGATTTTCTCGTTCCTCCTTTAAATTTTATTATTTATAACTGCATGCGTAATAGTGTCTTTCCAAAAGTTCTTAAAATCAATTATTAAAACGATCACAAGAGTGGAAACAGAGACTGTGTCTTTGATTACAGACCAATCCCGATTTTACCCCCAGTATCCAAGGTTTTTGAAAATGTTCTTTATATCCGTTTAGTATAACTTACTAAATGGATATAAAGACTTTTTCCCGAAAAAAATAAAATTTTATCAGACAATCAATATGTCATGTCAGTCATGAAGGCACTGATCGACAGGCAAGTAAAACCGCGGTTTTATGGCTCATCGGTAAAGTTCGTTGGTGTATCATTGCAAAACCGCGGTTTAAATACCTACGAGCTTGGCTCGTGGCTCGTCATGTTTGCTATATTTTTTCATGGAAGACCGCGTGTCGATCACGGCCGGCGAGCCGAGCCTTCAGTTATCAGCGATAGCGCTAGAGGACGGACGTGCTCAATATAATGGATCTACGAACTCACAGCCACGATTTTATAATAGAATTCATAAATGGCTTTCGAGGGTCCCTGTTTATGGCAAACTAAATCAAGCGAGTATAAAAACAAAGGAAATCGGCTTGAGCATATAATAAGCTCTTGGAGATTGCAAAACAATATGAACCAAACTCGGATATAGCCGATGTTAAAAAAAACTCAGTCACTGCGAGCTTCCCACAAGAAAGAACGAAACAATGTTTAAGCAAGCATGAGAACTGGCTCCGTAGTCGAAGATTTTGTATCAGCCAAAGTTATGGTATTATAGTTATGGTGTTATAAGTTGTGCCATATCGTCGTCTAAAAGTGTTAAACTGCTAACTCAACTTTTGCTAGTATGAAGGTTTTTATGTCGATGGAAAGAGAAAAAAATATCTTTCAACTCGAAAAGATGCTAAATACATCCAAATTAAACAAAACACGAAAAAACCACGCAATCAAAACTGATAAGTACAGCGTACCAAATTTCGTGCGTAAAAAATGACAACTCCGCCATTTTGTTCGTGCGTCCGAGCAACTATAAAGTGTTTGCGATAATTTATTGTAAAACAAATAGTTTTTGGTTATCACACTTATTTCTGCATTGATTTTCAATGCAAGGTGAGTACATTTTAATGTTTCTTACATAAGTTTATAAAAAAATGACTTTTGAACATGAATAATTTTCATTTAATGTGATCGCTGGAACGGGTGGGAGATAGCAGCTCTTACTTTCAACTTTGAGTAACCCAAACAAATGTATTAGTGGAGATGGTATGTTTTATTTCTTATTTACTTGAAATTGGGTATTATTGTGGCAATGATTGCTATGAATGTTGTCTGCTTACATGAAATTAATACCAGATGTGTTATAATATAACCTTATATATCTATTGCACTTATACCTACCGACACATAAGTATGTACGTATGGATTTATAGATATTCGAATGTATGGATGGTTCGGTGTACGCTTTGTTACAGCTCTTTCACAACAAAACTACAGAAATGCTATTTTTCAACATACTTAGTTACTTATGTAGAGCAGGAATAGTTCTATAATAGCCTCCTACTGTATTGGTATAATCTAAACTAAGTCGGGTAAGCCCACGGGGCGCCCACAAGTCTACTATACTTTACCTACTGTAGATATTAAGTACGCCCACACGTTAGTTTCGATTTAACCGATCCGGTGGGAATACAAGTACTTACGGCTGCTCTATTTCTTTGCAGAAATGTTCTTTTTACTTACCTAGGTTAATGTAGGTACTGTATTAATATAGTCCTTTTGGTGAGGTAGAATTCTTTTGGTCTTGGTTTGCTTTAGCTTGGTTTGCGGGCTTACTTTGTTTGTGTTGTTGCAGATGAGCAAAAAGTTTAAATGAGTTAGAGTAAAAATGCACTTGATGTCATACCCAACAGCTCATCAACTTTATCTGCTAACATACCTGCTTTTGCTTCTCACGATACTGAACCCTGTTTCTTTGACAGTGAACCACAAAAAGTTTTACCAACTACCTTTTGTATTGATCCTAACTCAAACCTCGTCGTTTTAACAACACCTACTAATAACAATAATTGTGACATGACCCAATGCAATAATGAAGACACTCAGATAGACATAAGCAGTCTTACTACTAACTACTAAGCCGTGTCTATTCATAAACCACCGTTAAACACTCTTTTGTAGTAACCAATTTGCTAAACACGTGTTGAACAGATGTCTAACTTTTTTGTAGTAAGACAGACGAAGTTTATCTGTAGTTTTTGAAACGTCTCTCGCCACTGAAAGTTGTCACGACACGGTTGCTTTTTCCAACACTGACCCTTCCACTATAGAATTCACTAATGACATAAATAGTGTATATCGTGCTAATACGGATTCAGCACTTCTTGGAAACAGCCTATCTAGTACTATTAATATCATTGGCGCTGATCAAACCTCGAATATAAATATTCAAGACCTCCAATGCACTACAGAACCTTCTGATCCTATGCCTAGCACATCTACTGGCATGGTTTTTACAAGTACTGTCTGCAATGTCGAAAGTTATGAAGGACACAACAGCAACAGTTGTTCAACTACAATTAGTAATATTTCATTGAATTTGATTTCGAATCATCAACATAAAAACTTTAATGTAATTGAAACCATTGAGTCTGAAGTAACAAATATACAAGAATCAGAAAATAATATGAATTTGGTACCGTATTCAAGTTCATCTGATAGTGACACTGAACTACCCATTAAAAGTAAAATAAGAAATAAAAAACAGAAAGTTGATCGTAAAAATTGGTTTGCAGTTAAGAATAGAAATGTATGAGAAACTGGGTCCAAATACTATGGAAGAGTGAAAAAAGATTCAAAGTGGGTTTACGAATTTGAAAAAGAACCAAAAAAACTGAAGGATCGTTGCAAGTGTAAAGGATCGAAACTATTAAAGTGTGACAAAATAAAAGAAAATGTGAGGAAAGAGACTTTCGTTAAGTTCTGGAAGAAATTATCTTGGGGTGAAAAAAAGTATACATTGATGAACACGTAATATCCTTACCAGTCAAACAATAAAGAGACCGTAAACATGTGGAAGAATCCCGGAGAACACAATCTTTGGTCTACTACTTGCCTGGTGAACCCGGAGAACCTAAGCTGAGAGTTTGCAAAACTATGTTTCTGAACACATTAAATATTGGCAGAATGGCAGTACTTGGATGGAAAAAGAAATTTAATGACGGCAGCAAACCTAGCGAGCAACGTGTTACGTCACAAAATGTTCCCGTCTTTGATGAAAGACACTCTAATATTACAGAATTTTTCTACGCTTTACCCAAAATGGAATCGCATTATTGTCGAGCGTCAACTTCGAGGATTTACTTACTACCTGAATGGCAGTGCAAAAAGGCCCTGTATGATTTCTACGTTTTAGACTGGTGCGCTTCACGCGACAAGTCTATGGAAGATAGTAACATTCCACTTTTCCGGCCAAAAAAAAGACGACTGTGAAAAACGTGCTCTAAACAAAGCAGGCAATTTAGAAGAAAATGAGTACCGTTTACATACAATTAAGAAAGAAGAAGCCAGGAAAGAAAAGGAAAAGGATAAAAAAAATTCATCGTGTATTGTGATTGCTGCAGATGTGCAAGCTGTTTTGCTTTCTCCTGTTTCCAAAATAAGTACCCTTTACTACAAAACGAAGCTCCAAGTCCATAATCTTTGCTTCAAAAATTTAAAAAATACAGCTGCGTTTTCCTACATCTGGAATGAAAGTGAGGGAGGCGCAAATGCCGAAGAGTTTGCTTCAATTTGGATTATTTTTTTAGAAAACGAAATAATCTTCCGAATGCAATAGGATTGTTATTTATACAGATGGTTGTGGCTACCAAAACAGAAATGCTGTATTATCAAATGCTTTGCTTAATTTTGCTGTCAAACATAATGTGTCTATAGAACAAAAGTACCGGGTGTCCGGTGGCTATTTTCACATTTCAAAGTGTTGTAACTTAAGAACTCAAACAGCTGGAGGGGCGTGGGGTGCGGGGTTAGATTCGTCAGCGTCGTGAGTTTTTTAGTCGCCATGCTGCGTTGGCCGGGAGAGGAGCGCGCTTGCGTGATCGAGGCATATTTAACAAGCAATTTTTCGCTGATTGCGGCGCGGCGGAAATTCCGTAATCATTTTAATCTTCCACGAATAAGTGATGTTCCTTCAAAAACTTTAATTCGTTATTGGGTAGCAAGATTTCATGCTTCAGGCTCAGCTGTAAACATGCATCGCCAAGGTCCAGTTGCATCTGTTTCTGCAGAAACCATCCAACGTGTGATTCAGTTTTGCAAAATCCACGGATGTCACTAAGAGCACGTTCAGCAGCTTTAGGTATTGCTAGATCTACATTGCACGAAATAATAAAAAAAAGCTCAAGTTTCATCCGTTTAAAATTCAAATAACCCAAAAACTTAACGAAAATGATTACCAAACAAGGTTATCTTATGCCGAACGAATGTTAACAACTTTTTCTACGGAAACACGACTGCTGAACGTTTTTTACAGTGACGAAGCCCATTCTCATTTAGGCGGTTATGTAAACAAACAAAATTACCGTTACTGGAGTTCTGAGAATCCAAAAGAATTGCATCAAGAACTATTGCATACAGATAAGGTAACAGTTTGGTGCGCTATATCAGGGAAAGGAATTCTTGGTCCTTATTTTTTGAAGACAGTCGTGGTCGGATAATATCCGTTAATTCAGAAAGATATTGTGAGATGGTCAACAGTTTTTTGAGAGACGAACTACGCAACAGTTCTATTGCTAACAGAAACAGCTGGTTTCAACAAGATGGCGCCACCGCTCATACCGCACACATCTCCATGAATGTTCTAAAGGAATTGTTCCCAGGAAAAATCATCTCTCGGTACGGTGACATTCGCTGGCCAGCACGATCGCCCGACCCGAGTCCATGTGACTTTTTTTTATGAGGCTACCTTAAGAGCACCGTTTACCAAAACCAACCGACCACCACTGCTCAACTAAAAGAAACTATCCGGACCGAAGTTTTGAATATTTCTAGCGATCTCTGTAAACGTGTTTTCGAAAATATGCGTGTGAGATGGGAAGAGTGTTTGCGCCAAGAACGTCGACATTTAGAAAACGTTATTTTTAAAAAATGAAACTCACATTAAAGTTCTTTCTATGAGAATAAAAATAATTTAGAAACCTTTTGTATTTATTTTTATATAATCCTTTGAAATGTGAAAATAGCCACCGGACAACCTGTATCTAGAAGTTGGCCACACCCAACGTAGCATTCCGCAATCGAGAGAAATCTAAAAAATAAGATTGTCACTGTCCCAGCTGATTACATAAATATTATTAAAAACGCACGAAAGGAGCCTTACACAGTACAATATTTAACACACGATTTTTTTTAAAGATATCAACTGTGTTCAGGCTTATAAAAGTATTAGACCAGGACGGTCAGTCGGTGATGCAAAAGTTAATGTTATTCGTGCACTACAATACAGACCTATAGGAGAAATATTTTACAAGATAAGCTTTAACGATCCTTGGACTGTTGTGCCGCAAAGGAGAATAGTAGTCCCGAATTTTCTGTATGATGAACTACCAGTTTTGCATCAGAACCGTTTACCTATCAAGGAGAGAAAGTATTATTTGTAAGTTATTTCTCCCGGTTGACTATCGCGAATTTTACGACAATTTGCCCCACTAATTTATTAAATAAATAAAATATTTTCCGTTTTTCATAACTATGTTTTTAATTTCTATACCTTTTCTTAAAAATCGTAAATATGCTAACTCCACATAATCTTTAATATATTTGTGATGACTTAGATAGTAATCCTGATAACTCCTTTTTTGTTATAACTTCTTCAAAATGTAATAATTTATATAGAATCATAAACATATTTGTTTAGTAAAATTAATGTTGACTAAGCTCTCGTCTGTGAAGTGGCTGATTTCAGCCAGTAAAAAATAAGGCGCGTCTGTGGGCTGGCTGATTTCTGCCATTACTACACGGTCGCATTTCGCGGCTATATTCGTTAATTTCTTTATCTTTCTCTGTGGAATAAGACCGTGACTGTGTTCATTATGAACTTGGCTGTATGATATACGTTACTACTAGCAACGTCTATAGAAAAAATAAAAAGAAACTTGTCATTGAAGTTCCGTTGATTTCGTTGAATAGACGTGTGGTAATTTTGCTTTTAAAATTGTGAATTACAAGTTATTATATCGGACATCATGGAAAATACAATGGAGCGGTGAGTTATCTTTAATTATTTATCTACTGGTTACGCGGAAACGATTCTTGTATTTTAATTTTATTCGAGGGTATATTGCCAAGCGTTTATTCTTCCTTTGACCTCATGTCCCTTCCATACACACTGAAAGGGGGGAGGGAGGGGTCTAGGTGACGCGATTCTTTCGGCCAATGAGAAGCGCGCCCGACCGTGGTGCTTGGTGGAAAAGCCGAGGCAATAAAGGCTCGCGCGCTGCCCTCGAGCGTCCTCTTGCCACGCGCCGCTAGTCTGAACCACATCACCTGGAGCAGTCGCGCTCCAGAAGTAACCGCCTCACATAGTGTGAGATATCGTCGCGCACCGCTCTCTTCCTTCGCACGACTGGCCTGGATCACATCTCTGGGGCGCCCCAGAAGAACCCACCTCACGTCGCATGACCGTAACGTAAGCGCCTCAGCCGCATCGAAGTCACACCCCGGTAAGTGTGTTTTCCTGTAATTCAGAGCCTGCTTGAGCATTTGTTTGTTAGTTAACCCGCCCCATTTCATTTCTCCTAACGTGCTCAAGTAGGATTCCTTCATAACCTTAGCAAGCAATAGATTTCGGAAGAGCGAGTGCATTGTCAAGGAACCGCGTGCCACATCCGCCATCTTGTTGAGGCAGAAGAAGCTTCCCGCATATACAGTCCATCTAGTATAAGGTCTCGAGTAATAGGGTAAAGGCTCGACCGGGGAATCGAACTCGGGAACCCTAAGGCCCGTCGCCCATTTTCTGGTTATTCGAGCGGATTTGGAACTGGTGCTTTGTAGCCTCATCGAGTCGAACTGCTGAACTAATTCCTTAGACAATGCACTCTAATTTAATATTGGATAGATTTATGTAGTTTTGTTTAGTTTAAATTTAAAAGGGGGACGCCCATTTTCGGCCATGGGACGCCCAACAATGTGAATTTGTTAAAAAATTATATCTTTATTTATGGTTATGAATCGCGGTATTCATTTATCCTCAAACAATGGGAATATTTTTGCACAAATTAAAAGTACCGGAAACATAATAATAAAAATTAGGTAAATCATTATGTCATTAGTTTGTGAATAAAAAAAAGTGTTGCCAATCACAAAACACATTTAAAAAATCGATTCTCTTTTTTCGATCGATTATTTACGGTGTCATCATTACAGTGCTAATATAATTTTTAAATAATTATGATGTTACGATAATTAAACAAGCTAATTACTAGCTGATTTCCAATGAATTCTTTAGAGAGTAACAAATGCTACGGCACAATTTAACTGTTAATCTTAACCGATCTTCTTTGAAAACAGATAAGAACTGTTATTCTTATCTGTTTTTAAAGAAGATCGGTTAAGTTATTCTTATCTGTTTATAACAATACATTTAAAATAGAATCATGTTATTGGTAACGAAACAAGTTAGTTTCCAGCTGATTTACCATGAATCCTTTAACCTTTTGAGCGCCAAAGTCGCCTATACTTGACCAACACCTGCGGGCCCTGAGCGCCAACGACGTCTATAGTTGACAAAAAACCCGGCTCCGAAAAATATGAAATATAGATATTGGAAAATTATTACAGGTATTTTAATTCTACACTCCTCAAAATAGGAATAACCCAGCAACATGTGAGTATAAAAAACAAGTCTTCTAGAACCACAAGTACTAAGAAACATTGAACTAATAAAAATGGATTTTTATCTAAGCAAATACTATGTCCAGCACGCCAAAGTCGTCTATGGTTGACCGCTAGTGTCAAACGCGGGAGGCATAGATTTCTTGAAAACTATCCAAAATTCAGCTCAATGGTGTTTTTTTTCTATTATTATTGATATTTGAATAAAATTAAAGGTTAGAAACATAAAACTATAATTAGCTACATGAATAAAAAATGTTATCAGATTATCTTCGCATAATAAATCTAATATCTCAACTCTAGCGCATCTTTAGCGCGTCATCGAAAATCAGTTCACTGGGCACCGTGATCAAGGATAGACGACACCCTGATGACGTCATAAGTGATTACCGAGAAAAGTAGAGCAATGCAACATGAACGATTCCTCAGAACTCATTCGGATTTTGGAAAGCGTCGATGATGATGAATTTTGATTTTTGATTGATGAATTGAATTTTTGATTGATTGGTGAACAAATATGTTTATTTATTCCATGACCAAGATTTTAGTATTATACGGCTGATTTACCTAGTGCGAATAATTATATACAATTGTTGATT